TGCTTAACTTCCCCGTATTACAGTTTCCTCCTCTGAACTCTAAGAAAAACTTTAGTAAGAGAATTGTTCTGAGACTCAAATGAGCTTGAATTCTAAATGAGCTTGAATTGTTTTGAAGACTATTTTATATATATGTGCACATAATAAATTAATTATATATAATAAGTAATATAGAGGATATATAAGATCAATATAACTATGTAAAATACATAATATACAAATAGAATTACTATAATGATAATATAATATTATGTAGTAACATAATATTAACTATTTATAATATATGTGTTATCTTGTATACTAGTTGTATATATGTACACATATATGTGATTAAGTAAACGCTGGTCTTCAATGAACAGTCTTTAAGGTCAACAGGGCTATTGTCTTTCAAATGAAGCAGGTGATAATAATTGTATATACTGACTGAACTGTTAATATATCCTAGTTAACATGCTAGGATCTGTTATACAAATTCAGGATCCTGAGAGTCATCAAAAATCTAATATTTAAATACAGATGAAAAATAACTAAGACATATGAGGATGTGCATATTTAAATGGAAAACCGAACAGTGCTGATTGGGCCCAGAATGGTGCCATACAGAAGGTGAGACTCCAGCTAGACCTAAATGATATGATGGTCATTGAAAGTGTGGGAACCAGGCAAAGATGAGAAGGCTTGGGGGTTACACAGGGAACAAAGCCTAGAGAGGAGCAGGGGAACAGACACAGCTCTGATGAAGCGCATCATAAGCCACAGGAGACTACAAACATATCTTAGAACTAGAGCACATAATATGACATAGAATACAAATGACACTTCTATTCTAGACAGATGGTCCACTGCCACCAAAGGTAATGGATTTGAAGGAAGTAGAACAAGTGTGGAAAAAGCCTATTGAGAGGTTATTGCAATGAGACTGGAGAGATGGCTCAGTAGTTAAGAGTGCTTGCTATGCTTGCAGAGGACCTGAGTTCAGTTTCCCACACTCAAATCAAGTAGATCGTGACTCCCTGGAATTCCAGCTCCAGGGAACCCAATGCCCATGTTTGTCCTCCATGGGCATGGCACATCTGAACAGGTGTACACACATCCACATACATGAATAATACATAAGTATTTTAAGAGGTGGTTATTATAATGATTTTGCTTCAGGAGAGATCATGAAAATAGGATGGCAGAAGAGAAACAGAGAAGAAAGAAGATCTGAGAAACATGCCCAAGTGTTCACTTGAGTTTCATGTATCTAAATTAGCACCATGGATAATCTTAATCATAACGAAAAATAATACCTACATGTCACTGAGTTAGAGAAACATTTTCATTTTCATTCGATTAACAGGTTAGTGGGGAAAATCTTTTCATTTTGTTCTTGCTATGATTCTTAAGTGACTAAAAAAATTTACATATTTTGTAATATTCTGGTTTGATCTTGGAGCCAAGAAATAAAAGATGAATTTATTTTTAAATCAGAATTTAACATTACTCAGGAAAGTAAAACCTTCCTTTATAATCGCATCCAGAGTGAAAAAAAAAGAAAAAGAAAGGAAAGAAAAACAACAAATTTAGAAAGCAAGCAAATTATCAAAAGAAAATAAACATTTTGAAACAGCCAAAGCAGAAGCCTGGATGCATTTCAGCCGCTGATCTTTGCAGGGTGACGTCTGGAAATGTTAATGTCTTCCTGATAAAAGTTCTCCCTTGAGAAGGAGGACATTCAAGTGACTTGTGAAGGTCGCCACGCTAAGGAGTTGTCAAAGCTCTTACCCCCTCTAGTCTCCCAGACCTGCAGGAGGAGACTCTCCCCAGGTAGGGCTCTCGCGGGCTCTGATGCTCACATATGGCTCTCTAATTAGGCTCTTTCTATCCTGCACAGCGCAGCTGACATTCTGAACTGGATAGTTTTAGCGGCTGGACAAGCTCGCGTGCGCCGTGGAGTGTGACAGGATTCCTAGCCTCTGCTCACCAGATGCCAGTAACACCCTCCTCCACTCACGGCGCTGATAACCAAAACTGTCTCCAGACACTGACAAATAACCCCTCAGGGTAAAACGGCCGCCATTCAGAGCAATTGCTCTCAAGTCTTCTCTGTCCTTGAAATACCTACCATCAACTTTAGCCAAGAGTGGGGAAAAAATGTGAGAAACTGCACAATTTCTCATACAGATTCTAAAATCTCTTCATTATTTATTTTTACCACGTGTGTGCCCTTTTCTCAGAAAGTTAAGCACCTGTGTGCCTGTTCTCAAAAGCTGATTCAGCTGGTGGAGGGATGGCAAAGGAATGGGGTTGGTGCTGCTGTGTGATTTCCGAGGCTCTTAATCCTTCTTCTGTGGTCCCTCTCTTGGTTCCATCTTCTTCCACACAACCCTAGATCCCAGCGTTGTCTCTGCCCTTTGCTCCTACATACATTGGCAATGTCTTCCTGCTGCTAACCTCTGGTTTACCTCACTTGTCCACCTGCCTCTGTCTACTTTCCCCACCATCTATGTAAGAAATTGATGCAGAATGAGTTATTTCCCCCTAAGTGCCATATTGTGAAGCCCTAACTCCCACTGTGGAAGTATATGAATGAGGAAGTAATCTATGTCAAATCCTGTCATGGGGTAGAACTTTGACTGGTAGTATTGTTCTCTAGGAAATGCATACCAGAACACACGCTCTCCACCCGTTTTTATCCTGCATCCCAGCATGAGAACCCAGCAAGAAGGGGGCTGTCTGCAAGGCAGAAAAGAGTCCTCAGTAGGAACTGAATCCACCAGCATATGGTCTTAAAATTCTCAGCTTCTAGAAATCTGGGAAATTCTGCCTTTTTAAGCACTTAGTCCATTTTGTTATGGCAGGACATGGCACCTAATACATCAGTTTCTTGCTCTATGCCTTTATGATTTGAAGGGGTTAGAGGGCTTCTGTTTTCCTACTAAAGCTGACTGATAAAAAAGCCCTCATATTACCAAGATAATATGTTATTTACCCAGCTCCTATTATGTACCCAAAATTATGCAAAAGAAATGTTAATATTCATTTTCATAACTGTTTTCTTCAATATAAAAATTGTAAGGATTTTTGTAAGTAACTGCCTTCCTTGGCTCAGAAGAGGGGAATACACTTACCATATGTACATCGTATGAGAATAAATTATCAGAGCTACTTTAGATGCTGCCACACAAAAAGCACAGGTTGAGTCATGTGGAACCAGTCATGATTCCTTACCACCTATGTGCCCTAAATTAGTCTCTCTAGGAAAGGTTGTCCCTGTATCAAAATAGGTCTAGTACTAGCAACAACATAAGAGGGTTGCTCTGTGCAAAGTGTTTAGAATATATTCAGAGACTGAGCGAATGCTCAGAAAATCTATAACTTTAGTTATAGGACCAGCTCAATGCTAACGACTGTGTAAAGAGATACAAGCACACATAAGAAGCAATGTCTTCAAAGAGTTTCAGTGTAGAACAGACACAAAAAAAAATAGTGATTATAAAAATCTAACTAATTCCTTTCCAGCCTCCGTCCCGGACCCTGCAGCCGCCGCGATGTTGATGCCCAAGAAGAACCGGATTGCCATCTATGAGCTCCTTTTCAAGGAAGGAGTGATGGTTGCCAAGAAGGATGTCCATATGCCCAAACATCCTGAGCTGGCAGACAAGAAAGTGCCCAACCTTCATGTCATGAAGGCCATGCAGTCTCTGAAGTCTCGAGGCTAAGTGAAGGAGCAGTTTGCCTGGAGACACTTCTATTGGTACCTTACGAATGAGGGCATTCAGTATTTCCACGATTATCTCCGCCTACCTCCGGAGATCGTGCCTGCCACCCTGTGCCGCAGCTGTCCTGAAACTGGCAGGCCTCCGCCCAAAGGGCCAGAGGGTGAGCGCCCAGCAAGATTCACAAGAGGGGAGGCGGACAGAGACACCTACAGAAGGAGTGCTGTGCCCCCTGGTGCTGACAAGAAAGCCTGGGCCGGGGCTGGCTCAGCCACCGAGTTCCAGTTTAGAGGAGGCTTTGGTTGTGGACATGGTCAGCCACCACAGTGAGCTTGAAGACTGTTGTTTGGAATAAACTTTAAAGAAAAGTGAGAAAAAATCTAACAAATTTATAGATAGTATATTATCAGAAAGCCAACAGATAACATCATCCGGGAGGTTACAGTCAAGGCTTGAATCTCATCTTTGCCCAATGTTTATCATTTCTCTCGTGTGTTGGCAGAGGCTGCTTGTTCATTTCCCAGTCACCTAGACCGGAAATAATCATTCAGAAACTATATTATTTAGATCACCGCTTGGCCAATCACTTAAGCATATTGCTCGATAGCTCTTATATGATAAATTAACCCATTACTATTAATCTGTGTATCTCCATGTGGCTGTGGCTTAGCGGGCAAAGTTCCTGTGTCTGTTTCTTCTGGCAGCTACATGGCTTCTCCTTAACTCCGCCTACTCTCTCCTTCTTTACCTGCTTGGAGCTCCTGCCTTGCCCTATTCTGTGCTGCAATAGGCCCAAAGCAGCTTCTTTATTAACCAATGCTCTTCACAGCATACAGAGGGAAATCCCATATCAGTCGTGGGCAAGTTACTTAACTTCTCTAAGTTTTCACTGTCTTACCTGAAAAATGGGGGTCATCGTGCGGGCCTATTTCACAGGAATGTGTGGGAAGACATGAGGTGATATTGTAGAGTGCTTGACAGATGATATATCTCCACAGAAGAACCATTGAATGGGAGAGCACAGAATAGAGATGTCCAATCCAGCAGATACCCCAAGTTTTCTACTCCTTTGCTGTCACTTCAAGCAACTTAACAATAATTGTCTTCTGTGGTCTTTCTCCTGAACAGAGGAGGAAGCCAGTTTCTGCATATGTGTGTGTGTGTGTGTGTGTGTGTGTGTGTGTGTGTGTGCATTTCTCTTGTCACTGAGAAATGGAGTTGTTCCCCTGGGCAGGTCCTGATGAACATCCCCAGAACCACAGAGCCACCTGAACACAATGACCAGGCACGAGAAAAGCGTCAACGTAAACACTTTTTATTTTGAGAAAAAAAAAAATACACATTCATTCTTTTTCTGTCCCTCACAATTAAATATGCTGAGTATGTGTGAAAATATCTGTAGTGAGCCTAGACAAGACATTTTAATAAGACATTTGCTCCTGGTATTTACAGTACTCGCTTATATAAAGTTACAAAGCCAAAGCAAAAACTTAAATGGTGTTTAGGATTACTTGGTAAATCTGCAGATTCATTTGCTCCCAATCTGGCAGTACAGCACCATAGAAAACACCAAACCAAGAATCTAGAAATAAAAATAAAATACAGGATTAATGTGGAATTTAAAGAATAACAAGGAGAAAAAAGAAACTGTCGATTGAATCTCTCATGAGATTTAGACTCCTGAGGAAAAGAACCAGGAGAACAATATCGAAAAGTGAGTACAGATCTCTCTCTCCCATTCTCCCCCCCCCTCTCTCTGTGTGTGTGTGTGTGCCCCTGCTTCGTTGTGCAGTATCAGCTGTTACTAAAGGATGCTCTCTCCTTGTGGTACACATACATCTTTCTATAAAGCATTTCCCTCTGAGCTCTGAGTAACACCAGGCTGTGGGAGCTAAATATACTTATTGATGATTCCCTGGAAAGACCATGCTCATCTGGTTTGGATCATCCGCAGAGAAATCAAGGAGTCTAGAATTTCTCCTACTGAAGTTTTATCCAATGCTTAGAAGTGAAAGAATTATATACATTTTTGAAGAAGAAAAAAAATCACTTGCAAACTATGGGGGCTAGTTTAACTCAGGAATTTTCTTTTGAAGTAACAAAACACAATTGAAAATCTAGGGTGTGAATTCCATCTCATTAGTTCTTTCCAAAAGAAAAAAAAAAAAACTCTCTCTAATGGACTCCACAACTGATGACTTGAATGCTTTGGTTCTGATGCAGAAGTGATAGAGTATGATCGTTTAAGATGACTCAGCAAACGGCAGCTTCCTCTGCCACAGTTCCCTTAAAAAGGAGACGTGGAGTTTGGGGAGGAGGGTGGCGACTTCCACATACGCTGCACACAGGTTGAAGAACTTAGTGAAACACTTTCAAATAGTAGTTTTATATCAGTATTTTATCACTAATATCACACTTCTTTCATTTCTTTATATGTTAAGAATATTTGTGTTCAGAAACACAGAAAAGAAATTCAACGTTTTATGATATGTGAACAAAGACTCAAAACAGACTTGCTGCTAAGTGTTTATGCACTTAAGACTTCCATATGCTGGAGCTGTTTTTAAAAATGTGGTAAAATGGCCAATTCTCTGAATTGCTTTGTTCTTAGAACCTCCTGTGAGGCTAACTTTTGTCCTATTAAAAGATAAATATTCCATGTCATTTGATAATTTTTTGCTTAGTGAAACCAAAAGCACAAAATGCTGACCACCTTTTAATAATAATCTGCTTATTTAAGTCTAGATAAGGATTCCCAACATTTACAGATGAATTTTTCACAGAATTAAGTATGAGTATTTTGTATGAGTTTCTAGTATTCAAGCTGAAAGGAGCCCCAAAGGAACAGAGTATTAACAAAGCCTCTACCTAAAGCCCAAATACAGATTATGATGTGTTTTTTTTTCTTCTGAGAAGATTGTCTACATATACTTTCTGCATTAGGTTTGTAGAGAGCTGCTTCTATTTCTTTATAAAGGTTTATGAGAAGAGACTTTCTCTCTGTGCATCTTTGTGTTCCCTTGAATTTGGAAGTCAAAAAGATTGAAGTGCTGAGAGACCCATTGAATAACTCTAAGACTAGAGTCTATACATTTCTACTCACTAGATAATGGGGGCCATTTGCAAAGCTCTCTTTTGGATAAAATAAGGCATCAAATACTTGTTTTACATCAAACTCCAGGCAGAAGACAGGCTTTAGATTGAGAAATCAAAGAAAAGTATTCAACAATTCTGTCAATCAGTTGTTAAATAATAATTGTTAATTATAACTACATATAGTCTAGGCATCCCAATGTCACTGGGCTCGCTGATGATTGCACATCATGACATACCACACAAACTCCATAGTGGTAAATTACTGTACATAGGGTTTTTATTTAAGTACTTCCCTGGAAAGTCAGGTATGAGAATTAATAACGTCCCTAAATGTGTAACAAGTACATGGAATTTATCAAATTCATAAAATATTGATATGTGTTCTATCCCTCTTGCAATCTTCCTTTCCTCTAGATCTATTTAGATTCTTGGCAGTAAGTTTGGCTATCATATGGAAGATACCAATCTTTCCAATCAATCATGTCCTTATTACTTTTGGCTCAGCTTCAATAAACCTCTTAAAAGCATGTGTGAACTCTATTCAGTCATAGGCAACTCTCTAAGTTTGAGTCTAAGATGAAATTTAATATGTAACCTCATTTAAAACCTGCCTTCCCAATCTTAATTAGTTAGTGATTAAACCCAGGTCTCTGGTCACATTAACCTCATGCTCTATGGCCAAGCCATATCCCCAGCTGTGACTGTGCCTTTAGAATCAACTCTATCAAAGTGTACTAAGTACATGTGTGCCACGTGTTCATGTGACGATAATATATATGTGATTCTTCACTTGCCTTTGCAGCCATTGTCTATTATTTCAAATTAGCATGAAGCCAGAATACAAAGGACACAGAACCAATGGCACAATCAAGAGAAACAGACCTAATGCAAAGTAACATTTGACTTTGACTCATTTGGGTGACAAGATATATATATATCTTGTGTGTGTATTTGATACTAGTAGTACCTGGCTTTTATTCTGATACATGACTAAGAAATTCCACCAGTAACAACTGAGTACACTAAATTGTTTTAATCTCAACCAAAATTCTGACCAAGCAGTTGTGTGACAAGAAGCTCCAAAGCGACTTAAGAGCCTAAAGGGACACTACCCAGCATTCCACGAGAATGATGTAAACGTCATTCTTCTGCAATCACCTGGGAAGTACCATACATGTTTGAATTCTTGCTATTGTATCTATATTGTATCTATATGCGGTCATGACACATTTCATGCCTGCGTTTCTCGTGATCTGAGATAATACCATAAATGCCACTTTGAAAACATTTTATTTCATATTCTTTGTAAATATTTGGAGACCATATGAAAGTTACCTTTCCGGATATAAAATGAAATGACAAAAAAAATCCATCAAGATAGAAATCCAATGGAAAATATATTTTTCAACATCAATAATTAAATTGATGGAAAGGATTCACAAGCTTCTCTGAGAGCTTTCCTGGAAATATCTCCAAGATCATTTATAGAATCTAACATGAGAAAATCCAAGGTAACTACTTTTGCTGTTTAGAAGTTCTTAAATTTCTCTAGAATGAATTGGAGGCAAAACATTTCTCCGCTCCTCTGAGTTTGGCTTCTATGTTCTGTTGCAAGATCATGGCTAGAAATGGCCAGTTGTGACAGCTGGATCTCTCTTTTTTTCTTTTTTTTATTTCCTTCATTCTACCTCACTTCAGAAAATTTTAACACTTGAACTAGTTTTGATATTAAAGGGATACCTACAAATAAGAATTGTACAGATGTTACTTTCTTCCCTCAAGAAAACAGTACCTAGTATATATTACTCTTTTTCTGTGACATCTGTGTTCAGGTAAATCATCTGTGTGTAGACAAATATATGGCCTATATATACTGGTACATTGCAAGAAGACATTTAGAAACAGCAGCCTCAGCCCTTCTTGGTTTATAGGACTATAATCCTACCTGTTCCAGACTCAAGGCTGACTCAGAGAGATGCTGTGTCCTGGGCAGTGTGTACCCAGTGCTCTCTCAGCACCTGCATTTGGCATTTGTTACGATCTATGAGACATGGAATGAACGCAGAGGCAATGACACTGTAATACTGTACCTCAATAACTGCCAGTCCGAAAGCAACTCCAATGACTATGATGATGTTCTTTTCAACCAGATCTTTTATCAGAGAAAGGCAGGTCTAATAAAACAAACAAACAATGCTTTTAGTGTTATTTTGATCTCATACTTCTTCATCTGGTTGACTCGTTATATTGTTACCAAGGTCATCAAAAAGGAATTGAACTATTTCTTCTACTTCTAGCTTCATCTTATTCTCGGTGTTAAAGAGAAATTGACACTAATATTTTTTTTTCTTTTTTCTTTAGCTACATAGCTCCTGACTGTTGGGGTTGATAATCAATAGAATGATAGTAGGCTTATCAACTACTGCAGGAGAAGCCTTATGTTCACAAGTACTTAGCTGACCAATAAATAGTTGAGTCCACAGTTGTGTGTGTGTGTGTGTGTGTGTGTGTGTGTGTGTGTGTTCGTGTGCATATGCTTTCATTTGGTTATAGCTTGGTAGAGTTTTTTTCAGCAGGTGTATTTTGTTTTAATTTACTGAGTTTTTTTTTTAAACTTAAAATTGGTAGGTTGAGAGAGGGAGAGGATCTGGAAAGACTTGGGGAAAAAGAAAAATATGATCAAAAAGATTTAAATTTAAAAACTGTCTTAATAAAATGTAATAAAATAAAATAAAGAAAATGAAAAAGCAAAATCATTTTCTGAAAATTTAAAAATGAATTCATACCAATATAGTCTCCAAGCTATAATTTTTATAATCAAAAGATTATAAATAATTGAATCTATCTTTAAATAGTTCATTTAAGAACTGGTATTCTCCTGATTATGAATTATGTGGGCTCGTGAGCTGCAGCAGGGAAACCGACTGTTGAGACTAAGACTAGACATAGTAAGATGTTCCTCTTAAAACCAAAACATTTCAAATACTTTAATAATAAATATGAGTGCTACTTTTATCTTTAAAAATTATGTGTACTTTTAAAAAGTTACTTCTCTGATACATTATTTGGAATGCATTCAAACTATCCTGGAAACCAAATTTTAAAATATTTCAGGCAAATTCTAAACATCCCAGTAACTGAAAATTACAAGGGTGACTCTTTAAAATGTAGAAACACTGAATAACACAATTCATATTGTCATGAACTCACTCATCCCTGTGACACTCATTTATATAAAGACTGACCAAATCATGCTATTAGCTAGAAAGAGTGAAAGATCTCCCTAAGGCTGGACAGGTCTTTCCCCCAGTCCGTTCCTTAATGTAATGGATTTCTCCCGTTGTCATTTCTAATCCAAAACAGAAAGAAAATCGGTATTATCATGTCAGTTAGGGTCAAGATGGAGGTGGACGACTACATTGGTTCGCCTTCATTATGTCTGCCTCCTGCTGCACCCAAGAAAATAAAATGATCTTGGCAAAAGAGAGGGAAGAAAATAAAAGGAAACCAGAATAATGGTCATTGCAGATTTCCTAATTTCCCAGACTTGCAAATGACACACGGCAGATGGAAGTATTCAATGAATTTATGACCTTCCTTTTATGGTAGTAGGAGAGTTGTTGGCTTATACTCAACTGAATTATGTGTGAACTTTCAGGAAATATCTTTTTATGAGGGCTTTTCAGAATGTATCGTAGGGAAAAACATCTTTCTACCGAGTCTTTCATAGGCAATAAGCATCCGTGTCAACAGAGCCTATGAATTCCTCCTCGTCCTAACTGATAGCCACATTAGCCTGTACCAGACAGATTTACATTCTACCTTGGAAACAGTATGTGGCTAAGTTTAAGTATGCAGGAGAGAATCAGATAGAAAGGTAAGAATACAAAAATTTAATTGCGATTAGTTTTGACAATGAAATGACGCAGTAATATTGCAATCTGACAACTTCCTCTCCTATGAATCACTGTAAATATGGGCTGCCCCAACACTGCTTCAGGGCAGAGTCTCATCACCTCCAGAGATAAAGGTCAGTAGTTCAGAGGGGAGAATTGTTTCCCTACAATTATTATTATTATTTCATTTATTGATGACATCAACATTGGTAAACAAAAATATTGCTAGGTGGGAAATAACTTTGGGTATTATAATGTCTTTGGGTATCATAGACACTAATCTGTTGTGGTTTGCCATAGCATTTTGGGTCTCTCATGGCCAGATAATTGTTTAAAGGATGTTGGAGTCTTTTTGATGTTACAGTAGTATAACTGATATAGAGGAGTCTCCAAAGAATAGCAGTAATAAAAGTTAAACGTCATTGACAATTGTCATGTGTGTACTAAGCCTTTCCAGGCAGAATGAACAGCTTAGGAAAAACCTTGTGGTGAGGGGTACATGTCTTTTATATTTACTAAAGATTAGTTTTACATTTGGGTAATTGCTGTATTTTCATATCAGAGTTCCCCAATGCTTGCTGTGTTTTAAGTTTTTACAGAGACTGTCATTGTGAAAAAAAAATATAGCAGAACTACTTAATGTGCCAAAATGGATCTTATTCTCACCTGTGTGTTAACATTAAATCCTTGATAAGGAGCACACTGAGATCCTGTCGTATTGGGACATTTGCATGACTCTTGAGCGTCGTTTTTAAAATTACTTCCCCAATCTTCAGCTCCGTTGACCAAGCCACAGCATTTAAACTGTGAAAAGAGAAGCAGAAGGAAAAACGGTCATTAGCATAACCAGAAACATTGTCATACACTGAATTGTTCTTCTAAACATGATCACAAAGATTCGTCTTTTGCTAAAATATAGATTTGATTTGGTTTATGTGTTGTGTGTTGAATGTGGGTGTGTGTTTGTGTGTGCAAACACATGCCAGTCACATGCTCTGGGAAACCAGAAGGGGGCATAGGATCTGTTGGAACTGTATTAAGGGAGTTATGGCCAGTTGTGAGCCAGCTGACATGGACCATGAGAACGGAACTCTGAGTTGAGCTGGCACTCTGAAAGAGTAGCGAGTGCTCTTAACCACTGAGCCAGCCCTGCAGTACTCCTTGTGCTAAGATATGGCATATCGTCTTACCCATACAGAGCACACACACACACATAATTAAAATAAAAATAAGATCTGTTTATAGAATGGAAAGAATGTTTCAGTTTTGTCTGAAGAGCAACACAAAGAACAATGACCAAGATAGTAAAAGTCTGATAGAAATAAGGTTTTTAAAAAAAAAAAAAAAAAAAAAAGGTTCTCAACTTTCAGTTTTAATGGCAAGAGAAAAGTAGACTCTGAGCTATGCATCCCAGCTTCACAAAAAGAAGTCAAGTTCTCAATTTAAATATATGTGTGTATGTATGTATATATGCATATATTTCAAATTTTTTGAGTAATTATCAAAATAAAATTTCTATCCCAGGATCTCTGGAGCAGAGACATTTTAAAGACCGAAGAATTTCAGAACTTCCCTAAGATTGAATTTTCATAGAGATCTTTAAAATAGGAACATGCGCACAAATCAAGGATCAGCCTTTCAGGAAACTGTCATAGAGATGAAAGCCTAGACTACACTCAGTAAAGCAAGAGAGGTCACGCTTCAGGGAGGCAAAGAAGCAAGCCTGACTCGGAACGGAACATTATTGGTGAAGAAGAGAAAACAATTCTCTCCACCCTCTCCTCACCCTTGTCTGCTAGAAAGAACACGCTGGGAAAAATCAGTAACAACAACAGCAAATACTGGTTGATCTTTCAGGTGTGAATTTAATCCCAGTACTCAGGAAGTAGAATCAGACCGGCGTCTGTGAGTTCACGGCCCATCTGATTTACGTGGCCAGCTCGAGGACAGTTGAGACGAGATTGTGAGACACGGACTCATAAACAAACAAACCAATGAAACAAAATGCCTGAGCACAGGCCTTTAGTCTCACACTCGGGAGGCAGAATTTGAGGCCAGCCTGGTCTACAGAGTGAGTTCCAGGACAGCCAGGGCTACATGGAGAAACCCTGTGTTGAAAAAACAACCAATGTCTGGTTTAACTTGAGTCCCACACCAGGAGAGGGAGCCCAAGACTTCCTTACACTGCCTGGACCAGGGTGGCCAGGAACCAGAGACTGAATAATAGCCCAGGAACCTAGGGTAGAACCAAATAGAAATAACAACCAGGAAACAAACAAACAAACAAAAAAAAAAGAAATAATTCCTAATGATAGTCTGCTATACTCATAGACCTGTGCCTTGTCCAACCATTATCAGAGAGGCTTCCTTGAGCAGAAAATGGGAGCAGGTACCCATAACTAGATATTATGCCGAGAGAGAGTCTAAATTGGAGGTCTCTATCAGGTCTGTCTCCTCAGAAACTGGAGAACCCCTTAGAAGAGTGGGAGGAAAGATTGAAGAAGTCAGAGAGCTTTTATATATGAACCTAGTGTAGACCCACTTAGACCCATGTAGGCCCTGTGCTCGCAGCTTCAGTTTCTGTGACTCGAAAGTGTGCTGCTTAGTTAGTTTAGAGGGCCTTGTCCTCCATTCCCTCTGACTCTTAAGGATCTTTCCGCCTCCTCTTCTGTGGGATTCCCTGGGCTCTAAGGGAAGGGAACTTAGACTCTTTCTTTGGGATGTATTGTATAAGAAAAAAAATCTATTTTTAATTAGAAAAAAAGAAAAGAGAAAAACAAAATCTAAAAAAAAATATAGGGTGGCAATTTCTCAGAAAATTAGGAAACAACCTTCCTCAAGACCCAGTAATACCACTTTTGGGTATATATCCAAAGGATGCTCAATCGTGCCACAAGGACATGTGCTCAACTATGTTCATAGCAGCTTTGTTTGTCATAGCCAGAACCTGGAAACAACCTAAATGCCCCTCAACCGAAGAATGGATAAGGAAAATGTGGTACATTTATACAATGGAGTACTACACAACAGAAAAAAATAAGGACATCTTGAATTTTTCGGGAAAATAGATGGAGCTAGAAACTTTATTTTGAATGACGTAACACAGACACAGAAAGACAATTATCATGTGTACTCACTCAAAAGTGGTTTTTAAACACAAAGCAAAGAAAACCAGCCTACAAACCACAATCCCAGAGAACTTAGACAACAATGAGGACACTAAGAGAGACTTACATAGATCTAATCTATGTGGGAAGTAGAAAGTATAAAAAAGACAAGATCTCCTGAGTAAAATTGGGAGCATGGAGACCTTGGGGGAGGGTTGAAGGGGGAAGGGAGAAGCAAGGAGGGGAGCAGAGAAAAATGTAGAGCTCAGTAAATATCAATAAAAAAATGAAAAATAAAAAAATAGGAAATAAACTTTCATTCAGTGGCTGTAGTTGGGTGGCCATAGTGTTCATAATTAAAGTCCATGCTGCCAAAGGTTCAGGTGCTGCTCATGACATCTAAGCACCAGATTGGCTGCAAAGATAAAAATGAGAAAATCCATACGAAGTAATAGCCCCAGTGCTCAGCATATAGAATATGCTTTTTAGAGTGCATTAGCTACCATAATTTTGTTTTCGCTGTCTATGATTGCCTCTGCTACGCTCTCAAGGGAACATGATCACTCCAGTATTATCATCAATAATTTAGAGAGACATGGGGAAAGCAAGTGTCAGACACTGTACAAGAGTTATATAGCAAAGAACGTTCAAATGATGAGTTTAAACTAACACATTCAGTTGAGGCAAATATAAGGACTTGGGCTTTTGGTTCAAAGACTGAGTAGTACAAACACGTGACTCGATATTCTTATGAGCTGAAATTGAGTTTCAAGCTCAATATTAACAAGGAGGGCTTTCTTCAAACAACCTCCTTCATGTTCCTATGACAGAGATGACGAATCACTTATTCTTTTCAATTCTGTAAATTTGACTAGTAATAATAAGTGGGGACTTGATGTATAAAGTAGAATAAGAATCCCATATTATGTGACCACCCCATACACACCTGATGATAAGAGGCATAGAAACGTCAAGGAGAAGGGGAGGAGACAGAAGGGCTAAAGCTGGCCATGGCATCTACTCTCTGACCTGCAATGGGGGAGCTAAGGAGAAAGCTTTGTCAGAACAAACTCTAAGTTGACAGCTGGATGTAAAAGACCAGAGCTGATGATGACGCATCACCCTTACATAAATACTAACCAAGAATCCTGGAGGGACATGCTCTATTGTATCTATCGTATCTAGAGAGAGCTTGTATGGGAATTCCCTGAACCCCACGGGAAACCACGCAACGTCTACAACTTCTGTTCACATGTAGTATGTGCAGGTGCAGCAGAGTTTGGAATAGGACCCTTCCCCCCAAGGAAATGTAATTAAAACAAAAAAAGCCAAAGGGATATACAGATAAAGTAGGTTCAGGGTGGACAATGAAGCAATATGGCTCTAAGAGCCCAGGGACTTCTAGGCATAGGATTTCTGTACAAAAGGAGAGCATCCAAAACAGACAACACACAGCACATTTAATAAGCCACCGTTGGCACAGAGGCCTCAAGTCCCTGGACATGGGCAGTGCATGTGGCTCAGCACCTGTCCCAAAATCCCATTGGATCTCTATGATCTTTTGTCCCAGGCAGGTTCCTAGAAAGGACCAAGATTGCTCTGTATGCCCCACAAGAGGACTGAGGCTGCGCGTATTCCTCCTGTCGTCAGCTTGAAGTAATTTGTGCTCTAGAAGGGAAATCATGTAGGAGGGGTGTGGGCAAGCGAAGGATACAGTCACGGGAAGTTAGGAAAAACGACACCTCACACAGGAATTTAGACGGGGGCTGGCTCACAACAGATTTCTGTTCTTGCAAACAATGTTGTAAGGAGAATTTTTGTAAGCTGGAACCTGTCCAAATAGGAACCGGTAAGCAATCAGGGGAAACAATGCCATCTGATAAATAGTTTAAGAAATCAAGGGTGTTTGGGCTTGGAAAGCAAACTTTGGGAATCAAACATCAGCTATTTTCAAAGAAAAAGCCACTGTGTTTACAGGCACCCATAGACTTTCTTTCCTAAGAGATCCAGAAATATTTAAGCATAAATAATATGAATGCTAGGGAAATAGTTGCTGGGTTTTTTTTTTCAAACTGAAAAAGAACACACTGATTATCAGACTAGCAGAAGTGGGATGAGCAAAAATGGGTAGATATTCAGTTCAATATTTAAAGGACAGAGGGTAAATGTAAAATATTTCAACCAATGAAACAATCAGGAGAAATAACCTATAAAATCCAGCCCTACTACATCCTTCTAAAAATGTCTATGTCAAGCCACACCTATGGTGAATACTACATGAAGATAATATGATGAGATTTCTAAAATCTAAAGATGTGGTTAGGAAACCTTGGACAAAATAAAATTTATCATGATTGAAAGCACATGCATTCACAGAGGGGAAGAAAAGAAGGAAGCGGCCTCGAAGGATGTGGGACAATATAATGTCAGGAAGAGAGGGGTTCTCAACAGACCTTGACCACACAAACCTGGTCTGACACAGCTTCCTTCAGAAGTAATACTCAGTAAAGACTGGGAAGGAACCAGATAGTCGAAGAGCCTTAATGTTTCCATTGAATTTTACCTTAGATGAGAGAGAGAGAGAGAGAGAGAGAGAGAGAGAGAGAGAGAGAGAGAGAGAGAGAGAGACTGTAATCTTGTGTTGTGGCATTAGAGAACCTTTCTGAGGTGGGAACTGGGCCAAAAGGAATCACTCTTTTGAACCAATTGTTGCTGGCTGTGAAGAGTGGGTGGGTGGGTTTGCAGGATGGAGTTAGTTCCTAGGAGCACGGGTTACCTTGAGATGGGGAAAGAGGTTTTAAGGAAGGGTGGGGAGGGTGATAGGTGTCTGCAGTGTGAACCTGGAGAGGGACTACTAGGGCCTGAAGGGCGGAAGTGGTGGGAGTGGGGAAGAGGGGAGGACGGGAATTGAGTAAAACAAGGCATGTACGAAAATGACACACTTGAAAGCCACCGTAAATACTGTGCAACTTTGTACGTTAATTATAAAGCAAACTTTCAAAAGAAATTTTAAGAATCTGAGCACACAGAACGACAGGAGCAAGACCCAGCATCAAAGGAACAGGACTTCCTCCTTCCTAGACCCTCGCTTCCTGTCTGAAATGGTCTCTTCTGTGTTTCCTCCCTCTTCCGTGTGGCCCTGACAGAACTGAGCAGATGTGTTGTGCTTTAACCTCCAGAGCTGGGAGCAAAATGAACCTCTTTTCTTCCCGGTGTGGTGGTGCACACCTTTAATCCCAGCACTGGGGGTGGGGGAGTGGCAGAAGCAGGGGGATCTTTGTGAGTTCCAGGCCAGGCTCATCTCCTTAGTGAGTTCCAGGACAGACAAGATTACATAGTGAGACCCTGTCTAAAATCAGCAACCAGACAAACAAACAAACAAACAAAATCCTCAATAAACAAGCAAATAAAAATCTTTCATGTCTAAAATACTTAGTCTCAGGCATTTAGTTATACCAATACAAAAACTAAAACACTGTTTCACAGGACTGTAAGGAGCATGAAGTGCTAGCTTCATGTAGAGGGAGGAAGAGAAGGAGGTAGACGCCTTAACACTCTACTCCTTTTAGATTGCAAATATTAAAATAATTATTGGTTTCTCCCATAAAAGCTTTATTTGTTGCAGGCCTATCTTCTTAACCTATCTTCTAAATTACATCAAATCCTAAGGGACTGGAAACTGTTACAGATACTTTTTTTTTCTTATTACATTGTGAAATAATAATCAATCAGTCAGAACCTGCAAAGTGGAGAATTTATTGTCACAGAAACCAACATTTTAAAAAATTAAATAGTGTACTGAAGAGATGACTCAGTGGTCAAGAACACTGGCTGCTCTTCCAGAGGCCCTGGGTTTTATTCCCAGCAACCACCAGGCAGCTCACCACCACCCATAACTCCAGTTCCAGGGGATCCAGGGGATCTTCTGGCCTCTGCATGCACCAGGAACGCATGTGGTGCTCAGTCATACCCGCCGCAAAACACTGCACATATATATCATTTTAAAATTGATAGTAATAGCAACTTTTTGTTGAGTCCCAAACCCTGGGACAAATGACTGAGGTGATTATTTAGCATATCTAAACAGACCTGGCCAACAGTTTCTCCCAGCGTCCCTCGGTCCCTACCTGTAACAGGGAATGGCTGGAATACCGTGCCCTCTGCCCTGAACTCTCCCACCCAGAGCCTGGGGGTGCCCTTCTCCCAGAGGCTTTTCCCTATATAAGCCAGAAATGTTGGTCACTATCCCCTTTTGTACTTTTGCCCTTTTGGCTGCTACCTCTGGTCCCCCTCTACCTTTTCCTTCCCCCTCTCCCATATGGCTCAGCTCAGGCTGGTTACGTCCACTCTGTACTCTCCCAGATGTCCCCATCCGTGCCTACACTCTCCCATATATCTACAACTAACTTTCTCCTCCACGGTGCCTGGAAGCAGTCAAGGCCTTTCCTTTCCTTCTTATTTCTTTTGCCATTTGTTTTTTTTTTTAATTTTAAAGTTAAACATTGAGGAATTATATTCAAATTTCCAAGTGGCCAAGAAATGCTAATTACCTCTGCTTGAAATGAAATCATGGCCTTCTGGAATTCTTCTGCCTCCTCAGTTGTGTTAGTCAAAAGTTTTACATTTTCATGGAGCGTTTCATTCAGAAGGCGGCTAGACTGAAAATTGAAAATAAAAATATATA